TCCCCTTGAAAATAGGAAATAAATCTCCCATATGAAAGGTACCCTCCTGGTACCAGAAGCATGGAAGGATCCTTGTTACCAGAAACAGGGAATCCAGGCCCAGAAAGGCTGTATAAACAAACTTTGTTATTTCCTCACTAATTTACAGCCCCAAGTCCAGGGTTCTTTGTCTTTTTAATTCTTCACCAATTCATTGTTTCTTTGTCTAAAAGATTTGGTCACTTCTTTGAGTCTAAAATTTTTTTATGGGGCTCGCGTACAAACAAAATTAAATTTGTTTTTCTCCTGTTAATCTGTCTTAGGTTAATTTAATTATTAGACCAGCCAAAGAACCTAGGAAGAAAGAAAGTTTTCTGCTCCTATATGACTTTGAATAAGTCATAAATTATTTTGTTCTTAACTTTTATATATAAGTAGATACCTACATTTAAATTTAGAATCTTTATATTATTATCTTTATGAAGTTGGCATAAGAGTCACATGAATTGATGTATGTGAAAACAGATTTTCAAACTACAACATATTATAAACATTTAAAATATTTCTGCTCTTGTTATTTACAGTACCTAATCCTTACTTGAATTCAAAATATGCATTAATATAATAATTGCACCACTAACAATATAGTCTTTACATTTTGCATATATTAATTTGTGTAAACCTATAAGGATATACTATTATGATTATTATCATTTACTGATAAGAAAGATTAATACTGAAAATATAAATCAAATGTCCTACTCAATATCAGGCCATTGAGGTTTTTTATTGTTTTCATTCTTGAATTTTAAATTTCTTTATCAAAAATCAGTCTATAATAATTTCTTGGGCAGAAAATAACCAAAGTGAAAACACACACATATTAGCACTTTGCTACACAGGATTATAAATTACTGAATATGTGCAGAGAATCACAAAACCCTTTAAAAACTGTTATATAAATAAAGTTATTCAGATTCTACTCTCCTATTGTAGTGTGACAACTACAGGAAAACAGTAAAAAAATCACTAACATGATAACCAGACAGAAAGAATAGCAATTGGAAAGGTTAAGTCACTGTAGAATGTCCAAATCACATCATAACCTCACATTTTCACTTCCAAATCATCTCCTCCCGGCAGGACAGAAATAGAGACTTAAACTGCATAACCTTTCATCCACCATCATTGCCGTGCTAGGGAGATGGCTTAAGTAACTTAATTTTTCTCACAAAACCTGATGTTGATATTTGGCAGCTTCTAATCTGGCTGGGTGCCCTGACATGAATTGCAGATTCTCAGTGCTCCTTTTAAAAGGAGTTTGAGGAGGATGAAAGCAGATGCGGACAAACACAGATGGAGCCCAAAAACCAAAAAGCACGAGGCTCCACACTACAGCAGGAGTGGATTTGGCAGCCTCACACAGTTTTAAGAAAGAAAGGTAATTTTCTATAAAGTAATTAGATAGTCACTTAACTCAAACAAACCACTGCAGTGGTTTCCGGAACTTTACGAAATGTTTTTCGAATGTACGTTAAAATTAAGTGGTTGCTTTTGGTTGTTATTGGTTTTGTTTGTCATTTTTCTTTTTTTTTTTTTTTTAAGGAAATAGTGGAATTTTAGAGTTGAAAATGATATTTAAATTTGAACATATCCTAACTGATCTCCACAGTCTAAGTCAACATTGACCTTTACAAACAGATATAACAAAATCAACGGCTGTCGTTGTCTGGTCTGGCAACTTTAAAACTTATTTCCAAGTTCCTTAATTTTCTAGCTATTGCCCTAAACTCCCAAGGGTTGCATTAGTTATCTTTAATTCCATGTTATTACAGAACAGTAGGTTCTCATATCTGTTCCTGCATATCTTTCCATCAACAGTTTTCCCCAATGGTAGGTTTCTACTCACTTGTTACTTCTTGGGGGTGAGGTATTTCTTTCTACATCCATTAAAAAGTTAATTAGTGCACTGTGTGACATGTCTACACCACTTGACTCATTATGTCTAGGGTAGGTGGTGTCGTTTATCTCAAATTTGTATGGATAACCTCCACTCTTCTTGGCCACAGAAAGTACTTACTATTAATTGATCTCCTGAAAATTTTATTTTATAAGGTCCTGTCCCTCCCTGGGACATCTGCAGTTTTGAGCAGTTAACTTCAGAGAGCTTAAACATTGATATGCTCTTTAAATATACTAAAACATAAAACAAACAAACAAAAAATTTAAGGAAGTGATTAAGGCTACCCATGTGTACAGGGCGTGTGGCACTGGGTCTTGGGTTTTCATTTGTGGGCAAGGTATTTTAAAATTGGAGGCTCTTATGTTTACCCAGGTGATATTTTTACAGTTGAGTATTTAGCTTTTTTGTCTCTGAGGCCTGTGGAAGACATTAAAGCCAGTTGGATGGTGACTGCAGGGTCCTGAGCAAAGTAATCACCTTAAGGAAAGAAATTTAGGTTTCAAAAGAAGTGCTGGGCATCTCCAGGCTTGGCAAAACCACCTGGACCTCAGAAAAAGCTGACAAGGGTCCAATGCCATGCTCTGCAAGACAGATCTCATGGAGCTTAACAGCCAGCAGAACCCCTTGAGTTCTGATAAGTAAAGGCTAGCTGCTGGGAGGTTGGCAAGCAAAAGACCTGGCTCTGCAAAGGCTAGATTACCTGTGATCCTACAAGCTACCAACTGTACCTTTATTTGGTACATGTGGCTTCGATATGCATGATTTCATTACTTACTTCACACGTCAGCATTTCCTAAGGATTGATGAAGCAAACGTTCAGTTTTAGGCAAAAAGAAAAAAAAGCATCTAACATCTTTAAAATTCTTTTAGAAACTGATTTATAGAATATTTTACATTGTGTGGCAGCTGAATTTTTTGCATACTTCACAGCACTAGGGAGGTTCTGGCTTTATACTGTTCATGCCAGGTCTGCATGTGCAGGGTTACATAAACAGCACCAAATCTTTTTTTAATATTCTGGTCAAGCAGGAAACCAGAAATGGATATATATGAATTTTCTAGCGAATGCAAAGAACCACAGGAACTCAAGTTGGTTCTGAATTGGTTATCTTTATATAAGAAAGAAACCTCCCTAGAAGACTGATCTCTTAAGCATAAGCAGTTCCATATGAGGCAGAAGAAGAAAAAGACAGTGTGGAAATACCCACTCACAAGGGAGAGTCAGTGCTGGGCTCCTAGGTAGAGCCCAAACAGAATCGAGAACTGGGTGTGAGAAACCAGGAACTCAAAGGCGAGATAGACATCAGAAGGTTCTACCAAATAGTAATATAGGAGGGCCAAAATCAACCTGTTGATGATCAGTTTTTTCCTACGAAGTCTGAATTCACAGGGAAGAGCAATGTTGTTTATTAGTTAGTTAGGAATGCCATAACGAAGAATTACAACATTCCAATACAGAATGCTCAGGGTTCTTTGTCTTTTGGAACTCTTCCTGAATGTGTAGCTACCATGGTAGCAGGAGCAAAAAAGCAGAAACACGAGTATAAAGAAGGAGCTTGTGCATAGTCACATGAAATACTTGCTCAATACAAATATAGATGAAGATGGTCGAACGGGTATTTCATTCTCATCAAGCTCCATACCATTAAAGTTTTCTTTTACTATTTTTACTAAGTTTAATAGAGACTTATGAATGGGTGAGAAAAATACATTTTCAACCTTGTTAAAGTGATATAATGTAAACAGCTACTAAAAAATCTGGTTTGATGATGAAACTGGCAAATCTTTATTCAGGCATGAGTGGTTTTTGCTTATGCGTACTATTGTATATTCGATTTTCAAGTTTATACCTTAAACCAATTATAAATTAATAAGTATAAATCATTAAAACATTGTGACACCTATGTGATATAAAATATTTGAATATCTCTTCAAAAGTTTACATTTAAAAATACAATAAATACTCTGTTGTTAGAAATTCTAGTGGTAGAAATGCTAGATATTATAAAATGTATCTTAGGACTTAAAACATTGCCTGTGCTATTTCCTTGATATAATATACAAACTTACCTAATGTGAATATTCAGCAATTATCTTCAAATCCTTTAAAATATTTTCACCCTTGATTGTACAATGTTTACTACTACTGATCAATGCCTAGGATATGATAATTAGAAGTTACTTTGCTAACAACAAAAATCAACGCTTTAAATAAATTTTAATAATTTAGATGGAAGCAATGACTACAAGTAAATACACATTCATTTAGTAGTAGAGGAAAAGCATCAAATATAACCATACTTTTAAAATTACATTTATTTTTTTTCCTAAACACACACTAAAAAATAGCTAAACACTATATGTAGCACCCATTATATCACTAGTGTCAACACCATATGACATCACTATGGATGACATTAAATGTTGCCTAGTTGTTATCTAGTACTAAGAGAAATCAGGCTTGCAAAGAGTTCAGAGACCACAGAAATGTAAGTGTGAATGTCTGTTTAAATATGTGATGTCTCTACTAAATGTCTAAGTAAATACAAGAAAAAAAATGCAATGTATAACTTCTTTTAAGAATGTTCTCTAGTTCTTACAAAGCCAGAAATGTTTTCTAAATACCTGGTATTTTTCCACATCAATAACAAGTGATTTAATTATAAATAATAAATAAATATATTTGTGGAAGATTAACCAACAATTCAATGCATTAACCTTGATCAATACACAATGTGTAATCTAGAATTATTAATATGTAATTGATATGTGTTGAGATTCATTTAAACTTATTCAGTTTGCTATATCAACCTAATAGTTAATTTACGGACTTCTCCTCATATTTTCCTGATTTCTCCTGCAGTGGGCCTGCCTGAGCCTTCTTTAGAACCTTGCTACAGTATTCCTTGTGCAAGTCAACACAATAACCAATTCTATATGAACAAATTCCCAACAAATTTAGGACATTTTTTGTTGCGAATTTCATTAGGTCACCTTTGGTTGAACCCAGCACACTTGGAGTATATACCTTTTGCTCAGAAAAAATACCTAAGAAACAATGGTTGACGCTGAATCAAAGTGGATTCATAGAGGGAAGATATCACGCTTGTTTTCCTCTTTTTTCTCTTGTACCCAAGATCAAAATAAGCTCAAACATGAATCTCATGAGGTGGAAGAAAATCTTCTGAGAGACAATAAGGTGTCCAGGGACGAAAATAAGGCCCTTCGAAGGGAAAACAAATCCCTCTGGGGAGAAAACAAAGCTCTTCGGCAAGAAAACAAAACCTTCCGAATGGACAACCAGTTAATCCAGGAGGAGAATCAGACCCTGAGGCAGCAGTACCAGGTCCTACGGAAGTTTACCAGTGGGATTTTTGAGAGCCGAAAACCACCTGGGCAGAAAGCCAATGCCTTAAACACAGAAAGGAAGTCTTATTGGCAACAGAATCGAGCCCTGGAAGCTCAGATCAAGGCTCTTGGGGAACAGGAGAAAGCCTTCCAGAATGAGGCAAAAGCTCTTCAGGAAGAAATAAGGTCATTCCATTTGGAAATCAGCGCTCTACAGCATCAAGAGAGAGCAATCAAGATGGAGGAACAGGCCTTAATTAGAGAAGGGATAGCTCTAGAGATGGAAGAACATGCTCTGTGGAAGGAAGAGGCAGCTCTCCGTGAGGAGAACACAGCTCTTAGAGAAGAAACCAGCGCTCTGCTAGAGGAGGAGAAAGCCCTTCTGGAAGAGGCAAAGGTCCTTGAGGAGTGGAATGAGATTCTTCAGGGAAAAGGCAACAAACACGCTTGCTAGAAACATGCACAGTAACAAAATAGAGCAGAAGCGTGACTTGAAGACGTAACCAGCAAACCGTGAAGATCACTGACATTCCAGAAAAAAAGAAAAATTTAAACTTTTGAAGGTGACATACTATTATTGGAGTTGGAGGCAAAAGCCTCAAAACCTACAGTACTCAGTATCTGGCCCTGGAAACAAAATAAAGTAAAATAACAATAATAATAATGTTTACTTAAATTTTATACTTTTATCGATGGCAAATATTTTAGAGTGAGAAATACACATTGCTCAAAAAGTGACACTGAATGAACCAACTGGACTTGCCCTTGACAGTAAGTGATAGTGGATGAACGTTGTAAAAAAAAAGCATCACACAGGAAACATTTGTCTTAAAACTTGGTCTTAGAGTTATGAGCAATATAGTGAAATATAAAGTTTTTCATACTTAGTTCATGTGTCTTGTGAACAAGATGTATTATAGAAGAATACCTTTTCTGCCTCTTTGTGTCTATTGCAATGATTTGTTGAGGAGACCAATAAAATAATGAGAATTTAAAACCTATGTGATAGTACAAAAATGATTAATTAGTATTCACAGGCATCCTCACTTTCTCTTCATTTTTCCTATCATTTATGGTCCTCCTCCTTTAACCTGGTGGGAGGCACACTGTTCTATCTAATACATTTATTAAAGAGAGTAAAGGGAGTGAGAGAACAAAGGTTTCCAAACTGGAATTGGAGTTTTGGACCCTGGAATGTGAACCTGAGGAGCAGTTCATGTTCAATGAAAACTGGGGGAGGAGGAAATGGATTTTTCAGAAGTGTCACCATTCATAATTGATCTAATTGAATGCTGTTTTAAAAAAACAATTCTGTAAAAAGAGTCACAGGGACTCATGCATACATTAGCATTATGTAGTTGCAGAACACTAGATTACAGACTGCTAGAAGGCTGGCCCATTATCTTATTTTTTACCACTGTAATTTTGATCACTTAATATAGGGTAAATATTTAATGGGCTTTATTGAATGTGACTGAGATCATATCTCATTTGATTCTTGTCTGGTGATGGGGGAACAGAAGTATAAGAAAACCATATGAAAAGAACACATGCGTTTCCTTCCCTAGGTGTTGCCACATCTGCAAAGCCAATGTATGTTTAGAGGACACCTCTAGGTAGCACCTTACTAAGCAATACAAATACATTTAAGTACAAAAAGTAGAAAGAGACATATGCCCTGATTTTAAGGATTCCACAGCATGCAAGGGAAATAAATATTTTTACTTTATTCCTTGAGAGTCCCTCTGCCTGGTAAAAAGTTTACTGACCACTGTTTCCTGGAACTTTTACAGCCACAATTTATATAAAACAATTTGGCGTTGGAGAAGATTAGAAGGCAAGGTTTGTAAATATGTGCTTGGCTGCCTTTCATCCAGTCGGGACTGGGAAGAAAGGCAAAGCTTTTATCAAATGATTCCAACCTCAAACAATGTGGAGGCAGCCTGCAGGCAGGGGAATGGCCAACTTCATGCTCTAGGCGTTTAGGGATATGCCATTCTATTGTCTACACATTAATTTTGATATTTTATTGTTCACAGAAAAGGGTCCTTGCTTGGAAAATTCTCTTCTGTCGTGTTCAGGAAAAAATAAACTATTTTATTCTTTGGTGATAAAGTCAGGAAGAGCAATGCCCATGGAGTGGATATGGTTATCAGTGACTCCTCTAGGTGAGAAAGCTGTCATTATTGCATCATAGTAAAATCAGCAACTCAGGTTAGACTGCAGGAATAGGGCATCCTGACCAAAATTTCCATTTCTCCTCTTTGAAGTCAAATACCAAGTTGAGTTCTGGCACTCCTGCAAATAAATTTTGATTTTTATAGCATACTCTACAAGTGAGAAATTACATAATGAAGGAGTAGGTTAAGACAATTTACATTGATACCACTCATCATGATGTTTATTATGTTGTCAGCTATGCAGATTAATCAAAAGTTTCTACTACCATTTCCAGTTAACATCGTATTTAACAAATACTATGTTGAAAATGATATTTCCCATATAATAAGCTAGATATAGTTAAGTACACACTAGTTTTCATATGTGTTATTAGATATAAATTTTATTAAAAGTATGTGTTAAAAAAGATTAAATAATTTTTTACTGGAAAAAAATGGGGCTGTTTTGATGCTCACAGTGCAAGAACTTTAGTGTAAATGGACTTTGTTTCTTTGTTGTCCATTTCTAGATCTTTCTTTATGGCTTCCAGAAAAGTGGTGGGGTGGGGAATGGTCACCTGAAGGACATTTGAATACCTAATGCTCCTAATGGGACTGCCCTTCCTCCAGACCAGCAAACCATTACTAACTGTAGGAGGCAACAGTTGCATGAATGTTCCAAATACAGTAATACCTTGGTTTGCGAGCATAATTCATTCCAGAAACACAGTACTCGTATTGCAAGACATCGCTCGTTTACCATGTTAAAATATATTCGAAATGTTTGCTTGTCTTGCGGAACACTCGCAAACCACGTTACTCACACAACCCAAGGTTTTACTGTAATGTTACATATGTCTTAAATTGTTTATTTTTTAAGGGACGGTCAGGTCTAAATTCATGTGCTAAGCCCCATTTATTTAATGTCAGAAGTCCCAGGCTCCCAGGTCCGTCTTGTTCTCCATTATGCTCTTTGTATCCTCTGATATGTAGGGACTCTATATTATTTCCTGTCCTACTGAAACATTTTATCAAAACTTCTCTATCGTTAACCTCTTTTGTGAATGTTCCTTTGTCTTCTTAACCTGGGTGGACCTCAATGATACTGCCTTCTTAGTATGCCTTTCCGGTGGAGACTTCTGTGCACCAGCGAAGACAGAGCTAATGTAGGTAGGTTTCCTCATTCCTCAATGCATTTTCAAAACTTCGATCCTTTCCCTCCTATGAAAAAGTTAGTTTCAATGAATCGCATGCTAGGAAATACCAATTTCAATGCTATATAGTACCTCATATTCAGACTTCCCATTCATTCTCATTCAAACATTAAAAACTGGCTCATAGTCCTCCTCCTCACGCCTCCTGTTTTCACTCTTGTGTATGACTTTAAAACGCACAGAGATGATTATTCCAGAATGTGCCACTCATCTCCTTGGATCTTCGTATCTCCAAAAAAACACATTTCCTCCATTACACCATCTCTATTGTCATGCCTTAAAACCTTTATAATTGGCAAGTTCAATGTTTCAGAAATCTGCACAGTCCCACTTTACGAATATACTTCCTACACCTCTACCTTATTTCTCTACTTACCCAACTCATGCACAGATCCAACTCATTAGCTGTTTCAGCATTATTTCAACACTGTCATTTTCCTCCCCCCACCCCCGTATTCTTACTTCTCTTGTTACTCAGCTTAAATTCTGATTCAATAGCATGCCCTTGGAAATGATCTTTACTTTTTAAACCCATTCTCCAGTGCACTGACGTCAAAAATTTGCAACCCTGATTCCCTGTAACCATGTGCTTTTTCCTTATCTATCTCTTGTCTATTTCTTTATTTACTTGTGTTTAGAGTAGCTCAACATAGCCAGAGCCACTGCTACTATTAACATAGGGATAACACTATATACGAAAAGTATCTAAACATTTACATATAGTAACTCACTTCATCTTTACAAACAACCCAAATACCGTCAGTATCCCTCCCCATTTTACAGAGGAGGAATCAGAAACAAGAAAAACTGACTCTTTCCAGATCACATGTATGATTTATTTCAGAAATGGAATGTGAACTCATGTAGTCTGACTCCAGACTCTGTGCTCTCAGCCTTACAGTGTCTTGCTCTACACAAAATACAGGGTATTAACACTATAAAATCACTCGTGATATAAGTGGAGCCTCCACCTTCCGAAGCAATCCCACATTTTTCCTGCTTTCTGATGTTACTAGATTTTAACCTCTCCTTTTTCCACTACCTCAAATAATGCTTACATCGCTCACTACCAGATGACAAACCTGCTTCATGGATTTCTGAGAAAATACGTATCAAGAAGTCTGACATCATCACTCTACCACCAGTAAAACTGTACCTACTCTATGCACATCGTGCCTACTTGCCTTCCCATTAAAAGTAAAATGGATTTATTAAAGGTTAATCCCTCTGTACATGCTCAGAACTCTATCCTGCCTTTCACCCTCAATGAATTTACTCTTATCTGCATTCTCTAACATTTAACACTCTCAAAAATGATTGCCACTCTCTTGAATTTTAGTCATTCTAGTGGATGTGAAGCATCCACAGCTCATTGTGGTTTAATTTGTATTTCCCTGATGGCTAATGATGTTGAGCATATTTTTACATGCATAGTGGCCATTAGCATATCTTTCCTAGTAAAGTATTTCTCAATTACTTTGTTCTAATTTTTCTCGGTGGTTTGTCTTTATCAAAATTTAAAGGTCTTTATGTATTTTGGATATGGGCCCTGTTACAGTTATGTGTATTGTAAATATTTTCTCCAATTTGTGTCTTGCTTTTTGTTTTCAGTTTTCAACAGTGAGATGTGAAGAGCAGGTTTGAATATAAAGTCTAATTTATCAATTTTTTCATTTCATGATGTATTATATTGATATCTACTGTCTTATTAGCAGTTGTGTTCTCATTTTGAACCATATATTTTTTGTTCAGGTATATGGATTCATGCTAACAGCATTCAACCAGACTTTAATATCAAGTATTTTCTTGCATATGTATAAGCAGTGACCAAAAATAAGTACTTATCTTCACTAAGCTGCACTTTCATCAACATTAAGTTAGGAATATTCATAACTAACATCTATTGAGCCAGGCTTATAACAAGAGTCTTGCAAACATTTAACACTTAAATGATATCCTATAATTAGGTACAATTACTATGCGCATTTTTTTCAGAAGGCATTTGAGACTTTAGAAGGGATAAATAGTTTGCCCAATTATAACAGCAAATGGCTACACAGTATCAAAGGAGATATTTGAAT